ATTATTGTATCAATTTCGTGTTTCTGCTGTCAATTCTCTGATCTAAAACAAAATGTGTATTTTCCTCGAGGAATATGCATGTACATATGCTTAGATCCTGCACTAAAACTTTGATTAAATGCAGCTCAGACTTTATACGACATATGTAACACGAATTCAGGTCGATGCTATTTTAATTAGTCTTTCTTCGTTACATGAGCACATGAGATTAAATTATTCATTTAGAATTCCATTCAAAGTTTTTAATACTATGCATGCAGTGAATCAATTATTTTACAAATAAAAAATTCTGGAAACACGATTAATTCAAATGAAATAGGCCTTTAATTGTCACCAAATGTGTTCTTGTAAGTAAAAGTTCTATTTTATGACATACAATCGAGCAAAAACGCAGTTTCTTGGTATCGGTCGCGGAAGACGAACTACTGCTGTATATGCAACAATTTCAGGGGTAAAACTGTAGATGGACATGTCATCAGTCTCCAAAAAATTCCTAGAGATGCAGAGAAGAAAATATGGCTGCAGCATGCTAGATTAATTCGTAAAAACTAAAAATTCTTACATTTGTTCTGCACATTTTGTAAATAGTGATGATCCGTCTGCAGAACATCCACTACCGAAAATTTGTTTTTTATTTTATTTATTTTTTTTTAAATAGGCCTATTCGAATATGCATCAGCATTTTATCAGTAATTTGTTTCTTTTCTGTTTTTTGTAAGGGGGGGGGGTGGGGGGGCTCACACAGCGCCTTATTATACTACTATACAGATTAATACAAATCCAGAAAGAGACAATGAGTGGGCAATTTAAAAAAATACGAATCAGTTAAGATTTCTTTTTATTCACAAACACAATAACATTTTTCCATATGACAGAGGCATTACACCATGAACATGTTTACATCAAGAACGTCCGCGGAAGTGACTTTATTTATAGCGCATGCGTATTAAACACAGTAAAAGAGTTCCCTTCAGGGGAAATAACTCACCTTTTGAAAATGGGGAATAGGGATCTTGTGTTTATACAATTCATAGTCTCAATAATTAAAGGCCTTTCAGAGACTATTCCAGTCCAACTTGCCCTTCATTGATAAACATATATTATTTCTGCAATGACGGTTTTCACTTAAAGAACAGAATTAAGCAGAATGCATTTTATTCTAAATATGCAAATTTCTTGATATATTGCTTCTAAAAAAATTAAATATTTGTTTTCAAGTGATACATTACTTTCTATCTGTTAATCAGCATTTTATATTTAGAAGAAATCAAAAATAGCCAATGACCTACATTATTTAGTTTTCTTTTAAATTTCATTAACTGACTTTATGGAATGAATCTCATTGAATGGAAATCATCCAATTTTCCGGGTTTTTTTTTTTTACATACATTGGCACAATGTAGCTTTAACAGAAAAATACCTTCAACGGAGTTTATTCTAGAAAAAGTTGAAAAATCTTCTCGCATCTCTTTGATATTTTACAGGATCGTTCTCTCATATCATATTTAGACATAATATGTTTGTTGACAACCTCTGTTAAGAGAATAGATACCGACATCCCTTGAAATAAAAGGCCTTAAAATGTCCCATTCAATGAAAATTTAGTGTAACGCATTTTCCTTGGTGAAAAAAGAACATTTTATCTGTAAAATTTACAAATTTGAATTGACATACAATGAGTACTTTTTAACACCCAGTTTTATGTTAACGCCCCCAAAATCTACCTGATTCAAGATCTATAATTTACCGCCTGTCAATCATATAAAAACAATAGCTTCTGATTTGATTGACAGGTCATCTACCTGTGACTCCTGATAATCTGAGTTTGCATGTTTTGAAAACAATTACCTGGTCACGCGTCAAACTCTTTCATGTACCTGCATAGTATACACGCGGGTTAGAAAACTCCAACACGTTTGAATTTGATTTCAAGAAATAATTGAAATTAGATTATTAAAACATTGACATTATAAAATATTTTTTTTCTATCTTCACTGCTGTTTGTTACTTGTAAGTGTTATATCGTCCACGTTTTCTATAGAAAAAAGACCGTGTCCACAGACACTGATTCTATTTGCCGTAATTGGAAGTCCGACGATTTAATTAATTTTTTTTTAGAAATGGGATATAAGAAAAATATGCAGCACTAATAAACGGCATAGCATAGTTTTAAAGGATGTTTTATTTTGTACCATGGCTACAATCCGCGCGATGTTGTACAGAAATTGATGTCAGAATTAATGCTTGAATTTCCTCTAGCGTCTGTATATATACGTAATGAAAATGTGAAAATAATTACCAGGGGTACATGTAATAGTGATCGACCCTGAAAAGAAATCTTTCTAACAATAAAATGTTGTTAACAGACGAAGAACCAAAAATATGGAATGTTTTTGACAACATTCTTGGCCAGGGAAAAAAAAAACATTCCGATCGCGGTAAATGCATGTTCACATGCACGACGGATAGGTGGATTAATATTTTTTTATTTCAATATTCAGACTTTTTTAATCAAGTGATTTCTTTTATTGAAGATTTAAATCTTTTTAAGTAAGGAAAACATTTCTAAAACGGATATACATGTACCTTATTTTTTCTCTTCAAAACATTACCATGATTACGATGAAAGCGTTACAAATAAATTTCATATTAAAATTATTTTACGTAGTTTCACCCAAAACCTGACACAAAACACGTAATGATGACCCTGATTACCAAACACAGACTTCCTTATGTAATGCTACGTATACACAGATTTTTGACATTTTGGGTATTAGGGGTCTCCAGGTAAATAACACCACTGTTACTTCGAACACTCCCCCTCCTCAGGTAACCGTACGGTAAAAAAATTGGGTCTTTAAACAACAACTTGTTCCAAAAAGATAATAAAAATTTTCCAGGCGCTACGGTATTTAATCAGACATAATCCGTGTCTTGCAAATATGTCCCGCTGCGTAAATGACGCCATGTCAAATATATATTACTTAATAGCTTACTGATTTATTCCGAATTCAAGAGGCAATATTTATTAAAATTTATATCAGTGGAAAGTACTGAAAAAATACTTTTGATACATATAGGTTTCATCATTTCCTATTGGTGAATAAAAAGTACAACAGAATCGGAATATCTTGCGGAAATGTCCCACAGCTGGTTAAAATAACGTCTGACTTTCTAAGAATGCACAATTTGGGGCATACGTCAATGTGCATTTCCTATTACTAGTAATTTATTTGCGTATCGTTGTACCCTTCATACTTAGCATGTAAATCTTTGATTATCACCTCTCAGTATCCTTAAATTGCTTATACTGTTGATTTTTTAAAATGATCACCATAAAACGATAATCGCATACAAATGTAGTTATGATTTTAAATCCATGCGAATGCAGAATTTTCTTTTCATATGAAAGAGAGAAAACAATGAGAGAAAATTAAAAATACAGGGTAATTTGTTTTGATATTCTGCTTTATCAGAAAAAAGTACATTTACACAAGATTCTGTCAACAAATAAATATTAATGATTACTTCAATGGGATTACATGTAATTTTTTAAAAAACATATTTAAACACTGCACGTAAACAATTCATATTGACGTCGTTTTGACGTTACAACGTTGAGTAGCAATTCCTGACGTTGCATCTATACTGAAGGATAATATAAGCACTTGCCCTTCCCTTAAGCTTTACTTTTACATTCTAAATATATTATTTAATATAAAAAGACTCAAAAGAAACTTTTAAATTTGAACATTTTTATACAGCAATTCTCAGTTTATGCATCTAAACACGTCTCAGTTTTCTTTTAGTCTTCGAAAGGTAATGTACAAAGTTGATATTTTTACTCTAGAAAAGAAAACAATAAATACAACTTTAGATCTAGCAATAAATATCAATGTTGATTAACATGACATGAAAGTAGAAGTTATATGGCATGTCTCGCAATGAAATCACAAATCCACACATCAAATCATTTTTTCTGATTAAGAATTGTTTGTTGATTGACAAATAATTAGGATTTAGCTTTTTATTCAACTATCATAATGACTCTATAATTGATCAAAATACGTTTAGTATGAATTTTAGATCGTTAATTTATATTTTCTACATAATAAATCAACGAAGTACAATGTCATGTATATATTTGATAAACTGCGTTCTTATACTACCTGAAAAACCAAGACAAAACAAGAATCGAACGGCGTTTAAAACCTGGTTGGACTATACTATGTGTCCTTCTTAGCGTGTTCTGGAAGGAAAGGCTTAGAGTTTATTATTTTTTTAATGGTGATTTCTAAAAAATTTAACCAAGCAAAGGGATTTACATAGTACGTTTTTCTTAGATGACTATTATTTAGTAAGAAGTACGTGTCTGTAAGAATCAAATATTCTAGATAAATATGACAAGCAATAGTACAAAATTGAACATTTTGTTATATATAGATAATTTAATTTTACTTTCAACACGCCATTTGAATTGATAAAAGATTTTATTTTATATTGTACAACAAAAACTGCTTACGTCACAATGCATTACGTCAAAAACATATTACTCCACTCCGCCTGACATTACTTTTAAAATATGCTGAATTTGAAGCCATATTTTGAAGAAAAATTGTCTTATTTTCTAAAATGACATGAAATTACAAGAAAAGAAGCTTATATTAAGGAATGAAGCTTTATAAATAATATTATACAATGTAACATACTAATAGCTTGGGCAGCTCTCAGTTTTGTTTTTAGTTTACAGAGCGTAAACTGTCCCAAGTTATGTTATGTTATATCATATGTTAAAATAAGCTCCATTTCTTATATACCACTATACGTTGTACACTGAAACTATGAGTCACTTTTTTGTTGATTTATGTAAGGTAAAAGAGTAATATCGTAAATGTTTAAGCGGTAAAAGAAATTAAAGTAAACCCCGAAAAGGTCAATACAGAATCATAAAGAACTAACTCATGGAAACAAACGTCCTGAAGTGTTCTGTTATCATGGAAACCTTAGAGATAACTGATGTGAAAATCAATTGGGGAGAGTTTTTTTCCAATTGGAGAAAATAACTGGTTCAGAGCGTGACATTGTTCTCAGGAGATAATGCTGTATCTGAGATGGAAGTCATACTACAGGTGACAATTTTTTCATTAATGTCTTGCATGGATAATGTACATGTATGTATATACGAAAACTATATGCATATAGACTTTTTAAAAATACTTGAAATCTCATCTTTTCATGGGATCAAATTTTCAAGGTTTGAGGAAAAAAAAATTGGTTTATGTTTGATATCGATTTAATGGTTGGGGAATATTTAGTAGCAATGGAATAAAATGAAATAATTTTAGGTGTGGTAATAAATTCTTGGGTCTTACATTCCTCAAAAACAACGAAAATTTACCACCAAAGAAAATTAGTGATTTCGCAATAATGGAAGTTATGAAGATAACGAACATTGACTGATGTAAATCTGATACGGCACCAATTTTAATACATTTTATTATTGCATTCAAGAATACGGATCGTGACTTTAACAGGCACAGATTAAACATCATGTCAGATTTTTTTGAAGTTTGGAATTTTGAGTGCAGCGATCAGCTGTAGCATGTGTAGTGTAAGATAAAATTATAAATGAGTTTTATGTTGAAGTATTAAAGAAGAATTTTTTCGTGTGTTTACGTTTGCCATATCTTATCATATAATACATCCATTGCAGCCTTGCTGTTTAGTATATATCGGTATTTCTTTTAGAATTCTCTCACTGTTTTTCTAATATCATTATGTTTAAGTTAATTGTTTAATGTTTTAGTAATATTTCTTAAATCTACGAGGTTTTGTTTAAGAAAGAGTTCATTTATCGTGTCTTGCCAAAGTTCATATCAAGGTATGTTTAAAATCCATTGGGTATAGTCTCTTTTGAAGGGAAAACAGCAGATATAGAAATAAATTAATGTTTAGGATAAGCTAGTAAAATTTTGCTATTTGTATTCCCAGGATTCCTTGAAAAATATTGTGTAAAAATGGAAAAGAGAGCAAAAACTACCGAGAAAGTATTCAAATGTACTCATCAAAAAAGGATTTATAATTGTAACACTTGTGAACAAGGCCTCTGTTCCCGATGTAAGGAAAGGCATGTGGTAGATTTGGATACGAAAATGCATGACGTCGAGGTTAAGAGTGAAAAATGTGAGGAAATTACAAAACAAGAAATTTGCACAAGACATCCAGACAAAGTTTATGACATGTGGTGCTCATCATGTGACCTTCCGGTTTGTTACAGTTGTTTAGAACACAGAAAACATGAGGTGCTAGATATCAAATCTGCCTACACAAAATACAGAGAACTGTACAAAAGTAAAATAGCCCACATAAGAAGTGAGATTCTTCCGAATAATAGAGCTACCCTAACCGCCATGAAAGCCGATTTCAAAACAGAGATCGAAACTCTTCAATTAGATATCACCAGAATTGTACCAAAGATAATAAACAAGGTTCAGAGACTCAAACATCAAATAGAAAATGTATTTCTTGGGCAAGTTAGCCAAACTTCATCTAATGTAGGCCTTTACTTGCAATCTATGAAGAAAACGTTACAGAGACAAATTTCCCTTCTTGAGAAATATGAAAATAGATGCTATAAGTTATCAAAGAAACCCGTGCAGTTCCTTCCATTTTTCCAGAAAACCAAAATAAAAAGAGAAAAATCTAATTTCTCTAGTGTAGTCCTTTTTCTGAATGAGAAAATTGACAAAGACGAAGTAACCAGATTTTTTGGAGTGTTTCACATCACAGGTGAAGGAAAACGAGAAGTAGGAAAGGAATGGATGCTGAAACCCATACCATCACCCGTGATAAAGAAGTCAGTCGCTGTCACAGGTCTAGCTGCTGGTCGTCACATCTCCTGTACGTCCTCAGACGAGATCTGGGTCAGTGATACTAACAATCTCGCCAAGATTAACTCAACCGGAGACATTCTTCATCAGGAGACTAACGTAATAAACAGTGATTACGGAGTGCATACGGCGACAAATGCAGGAGAACTGATATTTATTGATAATAAATTCAACATCAACAAAATGTCCTATGATACAAAAATTACAAAATTGATGGGGAGTAAAGGAGTGGATACAGCACTTTGTGTCTACTTTTCTACTTTTATCGAAGATCTGCTGGTCGGGATGGGTAGATATAATTCAATAAAACGACGTTATTCCAACTGCAAAGTAATCCGCTACAATAGTGCTTTGAAACGCATCCAGACCGTAAAAAACGAAACCTCTGATAAGGCACTGTATATGTGTCCTATCTACATCAAGGAAAACCAAAACAGAGATATTGTTGTGTCCGACACTAGGGGCTACAGAGGTGGTGCTGTTGTGGTCACAGACGGTCTGGGAAATCATCGTTTCACCTACAAAAGGCACCCTTCTGGACGAATATTGGATCGTCGTGGCATCTGTACTGATGCTCTGTCACACATCCTAGTGTGTGATGTTAACACACAGAGAATACATGTACTAGACAAGGATGGCCAGTTCCTCTCAGTTCTTCCGAGTAAAAAATTTGGAATAGCTAACCCATATAGTCTTACCTATGATATTGAAAATCATCTCCTTTGGATCGGAGCACGTTTCTCTGACATTTTGTATATATGCAGGCATATAAAAAGAAAGGAGTATCTAGCAGGTAATTCTGACTGAAGAGATACAAACATTAGACAGTACGAGAGTACAAGGATGTACCAATCTAGATATGGATGCAGAAAAAAGAGACTTTAAAGTATCAATTACATATCTAATATCAGTTATTTTGAAAGTACCGGGGTATTTTATAATTTCCCCCAGTTTTATTTGTGTTATTTTGGTCTATTTTTGTAGGAAGACTTCATTTATCAATCCATTTATCGATGTGGCTTTCCCGACAGAACAAGAAATGCTCTACAGTTAATTGTCATATATGAATCAATAGATTAAATAAAAAGAAGTATTGTGTTTAATACGAAGTATATTACAATTTCTGATAATAAATTATTCAAAACATGTTACATGAAAATTAGATATTAGATATATAGATGGTGCTTTATCAGTAAAAAATATTCATTTTCAATTATGAGTCAATAAGTTATTCCCGAATTTTATATTTGCAAATAATTTTCTTAAATGAATCCATTGAAGAGAAAATATGTTTAATTCTGCCTTAACTTACTAGGGTGACATTTTGACAGCTTTTGTTTATATAACAACGATATTAAAAATGAAGCAAGATCTTGACGAACAGGTTGACGAACAAGTTGATGAAAGAAGAATATCAACAGTCCCGTTGAAAGGCATCATTTCGTAAGTTCTGTGGTCGAAACAATGTACTTGTCAGCAAATACAACCTATTATTATGTCAAATGCTGACGTTTTTCATACTTATTAATTAATAGACAATTTAAAACCTTAAATGTCAACGTATTTTTCGCTTTCCTCAATCATGGCAATGAGCAAATGGTTGTATTGACGGATCGAGAGAGGATGCCAACTCCACTATGACATCTATAATTATAATAATAATAATAACTAATAAAGCCTTTATTTATCCAGGATGACGATATTTTAGCAACAATGCTAGTTTTCAATATGGTCCTGCTAAAATCGATCTGAAAATCTACCTAACATTTTTGGAGGTACATTGGTAGTTTTATACGGGTCCGCTTAAAATTAGTATTGTTTCGAAAATCTCTTCATTTCGTTATCGATATTAAGTGCAAAATTTATGCACAATATTCTCTAAATTTTCACCATTGTCAAGAAATCAATGTAATTCTAAACAGTTACTTATAACAACGTGAATTATGAAATTAAGCAAATACGCCTGCTTCATCATTTAACATTGAGAAAATTAAGCGGAATTCAACAGATGTTTTATTGATCATGAAATGTATGGAGATAAAGTATTCAGCCTAATTTAAAAGGTTTCTATTAACAATTCAAACTCAAATATCCATTCAAACAGACAAATATCTGGGTCGTCAACAAACACAGGAGTGTAAAACATATTTAACATGGAGATGGAAAATCTCTCGGATCCCTGTAATTTTTTTTTTTATCTGAGTGTGTTTTCTGACACTAAAGCTTCTCTGAAACAGCTATGAATGGTTAATTTTTAAAAAAAATGTTTGCCATGTTAATCACGTTTTAGTGGACTTTTGAGCGAATACTGTTTGTTATCAATGTATTCCATTTTACGATAAATTGATTGTGTGTTTTTTTAAAAATCTTGCATGGCCTCTGTAATTGGTCAAGGAGATTTTTTGAATAATGTTATTTAAATATTATATTTTTTATTATATTATATTTTTAAATATTTTATTTTTTAAATATTATATTTTTTATTCAAATATGTTATTTAACAGCTAGTTATCAATCCAATAAAACAATTACGGATTGCAAATTGTGAACAGAACAAAAACATCGAGCTCTAGAAATTACAGATATAAAAATAGTCATGAACAAAGTTCAGAATCTTAAGGGCCGATAAGTGTACATGTATATATCATAATAATCATAATATCGCAAACAATATTTTCATAATACAAAGCGAAAAGCAACCCTAACTTAAAATCACGTAAAGGATGGATTGTTCGTGGGCAAGGAACATTTAAGTGCTTCATGGGGATGTTATTTTGTGGGTAACGCGTATAAGGATTTCTTGACATGAGGAGTTGACAAACTTTTTGTTCAAGTTTGGTCAGTAAAACCCATGAACATTGATCCTCAACGAACAATGATAATTTCATTGTAGCTGCCCTGTCTATTTCAAAGAAATTCATAATTGAAATATTATAGTGACTGAGCTGACATCCATCTTGACGATCGTTAGATCCTTATGGAAATTTGAACAAATACTTAGTACGCTCTCACGTATTCCAACTTCTGATATTAACACACATACAGACATATGCTTGACAAAGACGGTCACTTACTCGAAAATTAGAGGAGTACATTTGAACTTTATCTGACCTATGTCAGTACAAAAGTCCATACCATGACCTTGTCAGGAAATAAAATCTATCATAACGTGGAATGCTGACTCACCTTTTTCTCATTCTAATTTAATCCTTATTCTTTCGCCATTATCTTGACATTGAATTTTTCCCCAATCGCTCTATCAAGACAGGGAATACGAGGCGGTGTGGCCGGTCGACAGGGGATGCTCAGTCCTCCACGGTACCTGATCCCATCTCTGATGTTAAGCTGTCGGAGTTTGCTCTGTTTCTAATTTGTATACTTTCAGTGGAATTTTGATTTTTATTTTACCATTCGTTATCTCCATATTTCGTCTGAATTTTGACCAATCATATCAACTTCTTTGGATCAAATCTCGGTTCACTTTTTTTGTCTTTACGAGCACGTGAACTAATTTCAAGTTTATTTAAAAAAATATGTATAGCTACATCATCACACAATTAAAGAAAGAAGGAGAGAGAGGGAGAAAGACACAGAAAGAGAGAGGGGGAGAGGGAAGAGAGAGAAGCATGTATACATGCTGATATGCTTTCTAAAGAAAAAGATTATTTTGGTAAAGGAATTGTGTCAGACACGTAACATTACGAATCTCTCATGAATTTGTCCTTCAAGATAAAATCCCTGGACAACGTGCAAACCAGTAAGTAACAAATGAATGATTATATAACTAAATGTTCTTTGTAGAATAACATATAAATTTGAATATTAACATTTTTTTCTAGTATATGACATGCAAACAATATAATTATTTGTGAATATATATTTATAACGTTTACATATATAATCTTAGTTGATTTATTTGCAGTCTTAAATGAACAATGTTGCATTTAAAAAACCTCTCTACCTTGACCTATTTTTTTAACTATTTTTAAACTTCATATACTGATTAATAATGAGTGATATTCAACTGCATTAACCGCATCAATTTTTATTGACCATATTTATTTAAATCTTGACCTTCCATTTGTCCTGACTTTTCTTGAATTAGCTTTGTTTCACAGAAATATAACATATATGATAAGAAGGTGAGTAGATTTAATCTATTTCAAATTCTTTATACCGTTTTCTTCCAAATGACCGATGCCATTACTAATTTATAATTAGTAATTATATACAAGTATAAAGCTGTTTTTAAAAGCTTTTGATTTTTCATTAAAATGCACATGTATAGTGATAAGAATTTTCGTGTTGCATTACTAATATTAAATCTGAACATTTATGTCCTATGCATATATTTAAATTAGATAGCGTGTTATGTTATGATACCTAGAATAAACCTTATGCTTAAAAATATGAATGAAGTTGTTTATCTTTTTTTGGTAGCACGAAAGAAGTTTAAATCTATGATGTAAGCATGAATACAACATTACGTGAGTAGAGACTGTATAAATCTATCATATGATTTTTTGTGCAATAAGACAGCATAATGTACATACTGGCTATTATATTTCAGTTACATTCCTCTGCATTTGTTTTTATGGTAAGTAATTTGTTTACAATTTTTATTAACAACGGATACTCTTTTAAAATACTTCAGACATAATTCACTTTTTAAAAAATATATTTCAAAAGATCATTGATCATATTGAGATGTATAAATTTTTAAGAAACGTTGCAAAACAACAAAAATCAGCTTAAAGCTTCATTGTTTTGATTTTTAAAATTTGAATTATATAAATTCAAGAATATTTCCTGGTTAGGGAACTGATATCCTCAAATTATACATTCTTAAAATTTAATTCTAATTAAGTTGTTACATTGTGGGATTAAAAGAAAGGTTGAAAACTTAGAAATAGGAAATTTTTAATTTTTAAAATTTTTAAAATGCATTTCTAGAGAAAATTTCGAGTGAAAGAATGAATCCGTTTGATTGATTATAAAAAGTGCAATCATGCCAATACATAGATAAAATACTTGTTATATAAAATGTATATTTCATACTAATGTAAGCTTAATAGGTTTTTAATATGATTAGAATTTATTATGACTGTGGAAATAAGAAAAACAGAAACTTCCCATAAATAACCAATAATCGTCCAATATAATTTTACAATTTAAAATTTCTCCTCTGATGAATCAAAGACATATTAGAAAAGTAAACTTCATTTATTCTTAACTTTGCATTGATTTAAGAGACGTCCTTCACAAAGGACTCTTACAGAACTTTTTACGCCTTATCGTTTTAGATTATGGTCTATCTACACCTGAACCTTGTATCGATATAAGTCCCGAGGATTGTTCAGATGAGTTCGCCCTCCAAAATATCTGTAGCGACCCCGAAACGGCCATCTTTTGTAAGAAGTCTTGCGGACTCTGCCGTAAGTACTAAAAATAGGAAAAAATCCTAAATTCTTATATAATACATGTACATATTTGTGAAAAGAACAAATAGTTATCATGCTTACAGGTCCATTGAAACATAACAAGTTTGAAGCACAGCAAATAGGAACTCTAAAACATCAGAGAGGGGATCAGAGGCTCAGGAAGATTAAGCATCCCCTGTCAGCCGGTCACACTCGTCGTGTGCTCCTTGTCATGCATGCTAGGGCATATGCAAAAAAAAATGTATCTAAAAATTCTTTGTGAAAATAATTGCTTGACAATTATGTTACTGTAGTAAGCTTTCGACTTCAAATCCGCTTAAAAAACAACTTAGGACTAAGACAAACAATTTAGTTGTAAAGTCTTTCAAATTGAATATTAATAATGTTTCAATTGCATATTTTTTTTATCTTGAATATTGTTCGTTACCTCCATATGTTTCATTTTAAACGATTAAAACCATTTTCCAACATAAATATGCAAAATAAGATTGATTGATCAAATGCTGCTTTCGTCCCTCTCCAGATTTTTTCACTAATATTCAGAACAGATAATATATACCATTGAAGGGTTTACACACTCAGGGTCATTGAGCAGTGATGGATCTTTATCGGACTAACACCCACTGTTTTTAAAGTTTTCATTCGAAGTAACCATTAGCTCCACTCCAAAGTGCCAAGTGATGAAGGAACAGGTGCTACCTATTTTTATCGACTTTGGTCAATCGGGGTTTTGCCATCCTATGTTGAAGCGGATGTGTATTAGAAAGTAAACGACATTGGTCTTTTTTAAAACGTAGTCCAGGTTCCGGGAGGAAAACCTGTTTTTGCAGATACATCCTATCGTTCGGTAGTATATTGTGCCTCAGAAATATATTTAATACCAAGTGTTAGGACATTTAATACCAAGTGTTAGAACATTGTTTTGTATTAAGCATGACTACAGAGTACTCCGTTAACCTGACCAAAACAGAACAAAAACCTCTCTACCTTGGCCAGTTTTTTACATTTTTAAACTTCATATACTGATTAATAATATGACATAACTGCATTAGGGGATCAATTTTTATTGACCATATTTATAGATCTTGTATTCAATTTGTCCTGTCTTTTCTGTTAGCTTTGTTTCTACAGAAATATATTGTTGTCAACTTTAACCTTCGCCATAACTTTTGAAGGTGAAAGATTTAACTCTATTTCAAGATACTTTAAACTCCACTTTCTTTCAAATGACACACCATGACCTTTTAATTACTGTGACCTATATACTAAAGATGAAACTTTTTTAAAAACTTTTGCAATTTTTTAAAATGCACATGTATAGATAAGAATATTTGGTTGCATATTCCGATAATTAAGCTCTTTCAACATTTATGCCAAGGTCATATATTTAAATTTGACTGTGTGTTATGTTAAATAGCTTTAACTAAACCATTATTTTTTAAAATAGGATATGAAGTTGTTTTCTGACCTTGACTGTAATGTATATGCTAAAAAATAACTTTTTCGAACTTTGTTGCTGCCGGGCGCCTAGTGTTTCACAAACACATCTTGTTTTGCACTGTTCACGTACTTTGCTTTTTTGTGCAATAAGAGAGTATAATGTACATACTGGCTATTATATTTCAGTCCATTCCTCTGCATTTGTTTTTAATGGTAAGCTTATAATTGTTTGACATTGAAATTTCTGCTACTTTTGAAAAATGTTATCCTGTCTATAACTTTTCAACATAATTCACATTTTTATAAAATATTTCTAACAAACCCTTCCCTTCATACTGATTAATTATAAATTTTTAAGAAACTTGCAGATTAACAACAAAAACTTTAACCTTGGTCATTGTTTTGATTTTTAAAATTATGATATTATGTAATATTCAGTGAGACAAATCCTTTCTTTGGGTAATTTTTTTTTCATCTCATTAAAATTTAATTCTGGGGCACCCTTTCAAAACACATTTTTTTTTTTTAAGGTTGTTACACAGGGATTGTGGTGGGATTATCAAAGTCATGTTCAGGTTGTTTGGACTTAGAAATAGGAAATATATTATTTTTAAAATTTTTAAAATGCAATATGTCCGCTATAAAATTAAAAAAAAGAATTTGGTTATAACGGATTAAACAAATCAGTAATAACAATATATAGTTATAAAATAACAAATCTGTTATATAAAATATATATTTCGTTATAACGAATTCAATAATCTTTATAACAAATTAAATTTATTATAACGAATTCAATAAATCTGTTATAACAATTCGTCCAATATAATTATACGAATTTAAAATTTCCGTTATAACGAATTAAAAAATATTTTTGATAGGTCCTAAATGGGCTTCCGTACTCCAGAACAGTACCTTTAAGATAATCGAATTACTCTTCTAATGGACTTTTACAGAACTTTTTACGCCTTACATTTACATTTAAACCTGCCTTATGTACAGAACCTTGATAATATTCATTTATTCTGTGGATATAAATAAACCCAAAATAAAAGTGAGATCGAAGATGACTTTTAAAGTTGACGACCACGCGATGAAAATTAGTGTATGCTTGATTGATTGCATGTTCTTTAAATAGTATAAAATTTGTTCCCTCAAATTAGCACATATATTGTACATTTCGTTTGAAAAAAGTGATTTCCAGTTAACAAAAGTTATCATATTACCAAAAAATGAAAAATTCTAAAAGTTTGAAGCACAGCAAATAAATGAAGCTATAAATTACACCAATCTAAGCATCAACTTTTCAATTAAAAATAACTTAAAAATTTCAATCTTATACTCTTTATGTTGATTGAAGAAAAAAATTGTAATAAAATGTGCTATTTTTCATTTCTTGCTAAATGAGGCCATATACAATAAAAAAAGTACTGAGACTAAAAATTCTTTGTCAAAATAATTTTCATGTTAGTTTCACAAATGTGATTTTTTTAACGAGCTTTGATAATTTTTTTAAATTAACATACTAATAAAGAAACTGTGAATATTATAAATTCGCATTTTTCATTTAATTTGAAGTAGAAATTTCAAAATTTGCTAAGTCCAGAAACCTAATGAACTGTCAATTTCACCTATTTTAATTTTTTCTTGAATATGGATGATGCGTACGCAGTCGTAATACTCGCATACTTTGTTTACATGTGTTAAACAATTAATATTTTTTCCATTTACAAAATATTCAAATTTGATTTAGAAAAAAAAAGTTCATACCATTTCTTCAGTTTGATACAGAATGTTTATATTTTGATCAAAATAATTTTTTCACTCTATTCATATACAGATTTAATATGTACACCACGGCTTCCGTTTTGGGTTTACACACTCAGGGTCATTGAGCAGTGAATGGTTTTCTCCACACACTACTCAAATATACACGTTTTGATTTTCATAATGTGCGTAACCATATGCTCCACTAAAAGTGCCAAGTATTCATGAAATTTGCTACAATTTCCTTATATTTGGTCAATAACACCCCGACTGTGTATCCATTGTATAGTGAAGTGGTTATGATTGCAAGTAAAAGACCGGAGGGGTCTTTTTTAACATTACTTTAAGTATTGGAAATGTTTATTGCAAAGGATCGTTCGTTATATTGTGCCCCCCCAAGTGTTAGATAATACAAGTGTTAATTGTTTTGTATTAAGGATGTAATATTCCGAATGTAAAACAGAAAAATTGTTACTGGAAGAAGTGGCATTGAAAAATGTTTGAAGCTTACTCCTCCTTGGCCCCCCCCCCCACATAGGATTTTCGAGTTTGGGCAATTTTTTTATTTACTTATTTTGCTTTTCAACTTTTTCCGGGTGAAAAAAATTATTTTTGTCCTGTCTGTCTTTCAAAACAATGTCGTGCCTAGCTGTTTGTCTAAATTTTGTCAACTTTAACCTTCGCCATAACTTTTGTATTTCCGTGAAAGTTAAGACTTCATATTTGAGCCTACACAAATTAAAATTTTCAAAATTAAAAATTTCAGAAAACCAAAGTCAATGACCTTGTGACTGTATTGTGACAGTATTGCTAAACATTGTTTTTCTGGAAAGTCTTTTACCATTTTTTTTTTTAAGAGATTGAAATAATTATATATTTGTGTGATCATTCCGAAACACAAGCTCTTTCAAATTAACAATACCAAGTGTCAATGACCTTGTGACATTTGACTGTGAACTATATGCATATAATATATAAACTCGAACTTTCGCCATTATTTTTTTCCAGGATATGGAAAATTCTCTTATCATGAAAATTTAATGTAGTGAATAAATTAAGTTCTTTCCCAAATGCAAAACAAGAAAAGGAAAATTAATACCTTATGACTACAAACAAGACTATATCATGTATATGCTAAAAAATAACTTTATTTAGAACTTTGTTACTGCTAAGTATAATCTAGCCAAAAAGAAAATTCACAAACAAAAATTGTATTTAGAGCGTTACACGGTATACTTGTGAATTTTGTGTTATACATAGCTAAAATCGAATTTGTGATTGTTTAGGGGTTTTAAAAAGGCGGTTGCACCATCCAAAAATTGTCTATATTATAGTTAACTATAATTTACTGCCATCCTAATGAAGTAAGCTTATAATTGTTTAACAATGAAATTTCTGCTACTTTTGAAAAATGTTTTATGTTTTGATTTACTTCATAAAACTTTAAAAAAAAGTTGGTATACAATACAGTAATTTAACTTATTTATGGTAATGTGTATTTAGCTCAAAACTTTTTTGGTAATTAATTTTGACTCTTTGAACAGGTTTGGAGATTACACTTCTTTTAAAAACTTTAACCTTGGTCATATCTTTTGAATTGTTGATGCATGGGCTATCATATTTTATGTGTATATTCAGTGAGACAAATCCTTTCTTTGGGTAATTTTTTTTTCATCTCATTTCATGACTCCCTGCCATTCTGGGGCATCTGCCTTTCAAAACACATCCTGTTTGTTTTTTTTATCAGGTTTGCTATACTGGGATACGTGTCGTGGGATCATCAATACGTTATGTTCATGGTTGTTTGGAAGAAAGTGTAAGCACCCAATATATTATTTATTTATTCTTTTCTAAAAAGAAATATGTCCGCTATAAAATAAAAAAAAATACGGTGTGGTTTTAAGTACAGTGATCGATATGCATTTTCATCTTACCTTCCTAAGAACAGTACCTTTAAAATGATCGAATTACTCTTCTAATAAGAGGGATAACTCAACCAGGAATAAATAACATTTTTTCCTAGAAAAAAAAGCTATTATAATTATTTAAAAAAGAATTATAATACTGTATCTGCATGTAAAAATTCGCACTTCAAGGCATCCTTCAATTGTTTGCATATAATCATTTCAATTATAACTTTTGATTTTTAATCAAAAAATGATATTATTGTATGAGTGATAAGAGTGATAATGCGCCTCAACTTTACTTTTAATTCCAAGACTCTATATTTTCTGCATTGTTTTACTCTTTGTTAGATCTGTTATGCTTTCGCAGCTAATGACCTTATACGAGTGAGTGACCGGACAGGTCGATATGTCCACGGGGACCAAGGTACGCCTATCTGTGACGCTTGTTGTAAAGGGGATCAATGTAACGCCGCAGATTGTTACCTGCTCAGAAAGAGTAAGTGCTGAATTTACACACCACAGATACATTCATAAATGAAGGCCGACAGACATGTTTCACAAGCAGATCTGGGGGGGGGGGGGGGGGAAGGTCTGGACTTTGCAGGGTTATTAAATGTATGTACGTATTGTTGTTTCAGTAGATATTAGTTTCTGGGTAGGAATTTAATTTTTCACTAGGGTGCCCCCCTTCCCCTTGGATAACACTTGTGCTTTATAATTATGCAATCATTTTGTTTGTTGTTACATATAACTGAATTTGTTTTGGATTTTTTTCAGATATGACTATTTCAAACTTCATCGATGGCAAGGCATCATCAATCATTTCAAGATATCCATTTGGTTAATTGATACAGCAACTCTGAGTTTACATTTATTGTAAAATTTATAACACTTTACCTTGCCGCAACACATTTTGTGAATAAATTTCTAAAAAAAAAAAAACCAGAAGAATACTGTACTAAAAAGGATCGATACTTTCTTTAAAAATTGTATTAAGTACTTGAACGTATAAGCATTTTTCCCTCCTGAGATGAAGAATTTCAATTTGCAATTATACAGAACCTCTTCTACACACTGCAGACTACTGGATGAATAAATAACACCATTTGTAATTGCAGATGCATTTTATTATCAGTATCAAAATTGCACTTTTGTTTCTAAGCTTTGACAAATGAATAATATACAATCTCACTGAGACACATAATACTGATCGCACTCCCGACACAAACGGATACAAGGCATACACGATTTACAGAATTACTAGCAGTAACCTAAGGAGTTGCTAGGCAACTGTCATTGACACAAAAATGAAAAACAAGATGTCAGTTTAGTTTTTTTCCCCTACAGATACTTTACAATTGATGCTAAGATTTGACGTTTTGTGATGACCATCCAATGTAAATGCTGAAATGAACACAATTTTATTTCAAAATCTCTCCGTAAATCTTAGTAATTTCATATTCATTGCACTTCTTGTGCAATTTTTTTTTCATGCTTTCAAGTCTTATTCTACATTTTATCAATGAATACACAATGTACATTCATAATTCAGTTTTCCTTTATTCACAGACTTTAAGATAATTGATAGGGATAGTAAATTCTGACATATTTAACTTTATTAACAATAACTTTGGATTTCATTCATTTAACATTTTTCAAGTAAAAAATAAAAGTTCCACAAACAAAATAAATATTGTCACAGTTAAAAGACAATCTACGTTTCATTTAACATGATTATTTTTCTACAAATTATATACATTTTCTATACAGCTCACAGTTATCACAGAATAGTGGTGATTTTTCAAAATAAAAAAAGTTAAAAATCATTTGTCTGACATTTTAATCACCACAACTTAAAAAAAAAAAAAATCATTACTTGACTAGAATAAGATGTTTGACTTAAAACCCAACCTAAAAGTTTTCCATTCAATTATTTCTCATGCTCAAAGGGACCTCCTGTTTTTATAAGTTTGAAGGATATTCAAGCTAGTGGACACTTAACTAAAAGACCTGGCTAAAAATTGCCCAGCCATTTAGGATTGACAGTTAATTTTGCCAGTCATTAAATGTCATGAAACTTTTTTTATGGTCACTTGAGGAATACATCTAGTATGTCCTGTTTGCTTTGTTTGGAGACATTTACTATGTAGATATTATATAAAATAGAGATTGGACAACCCCAAAATCATGGTATCCTTCTATATATTACATATTATTAAATTAGAAAAATAACCATCTATCAGAAATTAAAATCTTTCCAGATTTTAAATGGATGAGAACAAACTTGGGTCAGAGGACCCCATTTAAGTCCCTGTGAGCTATATAATGCTAAAGAAATCAGACTGTGCATTGTTCATTATAGGTATATTTACAAAAGTAAGTATATATCAGTTGGAGATAAGAATAATTTAGCACTTGTTTGAGTATTATACTTCTTAACTTAAGATATTAAACACAATTAACATGAGAGACTTAAGTTATAGCTTGTCTTTGTTTCTGGAATGAAACGAAAATAAAAATCGAAAAAACAACACATTCGAAAGAAAGACAACGTGCAGTGAAGTAGCTGCACATTTCAGATCTAGACAAAGCCTCATCAATTTGCTAATTAGTCCATAATTACAATTGTGTGACTGTTACTCATAACATATTTCTGTTGCCATGGTAACCCTAGCTTCTTTCCCATTGGTTTATTTCTCGATACCCTGAGAAATTTAAATATCTCCATGGTAACAGGTTCACCAGTTGGCCAATCCTGGTTTGTTCAGAGTCATAAAATATATCTGGCAGCTTGAGCCCGACCTCATTGATGAGAAAAAGACCTGGAAATCAAATGTAGAAATCTACCTAAAATTGTTTAACAAGTGGAATTCTTAGAAAGACAGGTTTAATTATTTTCTTGTTTATTAGTAATTTTTTCATAAAAATCCAACAATTCTTTGCAAGATTCCATATAAAATATTGTGAAGAAAATTTTTCGAGTCTAGTTGTGAATATTTTCAAAGTTATAAAAGGATATAAAAAAAAGTTTTTAACTAGTTGTTGGATTGTAAAATTTAAAGGAAATACTGGTACATGAGTACAACAAATAAAATCATCTTTTTAGTTTGAGTGGTTTGCTAAACTGGCTGTCCCACTGTGTAGATAACATTGACCATCACTTCAGTATTGTTCTCACAAATAAAACTCATGCTTCTGAATCTTCACAAACCTCTTTGAATGACTTCAAAATCTACTCACTTTGTCATTTCTCTCACAGAGGAACTTGAGTTTCTGAGCTTTCTTGTGCATGAACACTCCATCAAGATGTCCAGTCTCGGCCGCTCGTATCTCGATGGCTTTGTTTCCCCATCCCATCAATTGACCAGTGCTGATGTAGGCTAAAATAAACATATACTAGTATTGATCAGAGCTGATGTGGCTAAAATAAAAAAAAACACAATACTATTATTGACAAAAACTCATATTGACCAATGCTGATGTAGGTTGGTAAAAACTCATATTGACCAGTGACCAGTACTAATGTAGGGTAATAAAAACTCATATTTACCAAGTTCAATAGGTGACTTAAACATTTCATTTCCTCATTTTGCAAAAAAACTAGCATTTTTAATACAGCGCCACCTACCAACAGATGTGGGCATTTCTCCCCATTGTACGATGACATTCTTTGTCACTCTGCCGCTGGAGTTCACATAAACTCCCTCATCTACAATGACATGACATTGTAAACAACAGAGTGTTACCAGAATATTATAGTTAACTTTTATTTAAAATAAAAGACATCACAAACACATCCAAACTTAACTGCCTTTAGCAGGCTTAGGAGCATTCTGAAGTTCAAATTATATTTTTTATTCTATAGTCATCCTATTTCATGTCTTTTATCTCAATTCTCAGTTCATGATGTATATCTACTCCCTCTCTCTTCCTCTCCCTCTCAGCTAATGCCCTTTTCACAGAGAGTTAAATTCGAATTAAACATAAGTTTACTGCAAATTATCTTCGCTTAGCGTTCACACAGTGAATTTAATGTGAATTAGTTTAATTCAAATTAATTTACTGTGCATTAAATTTTAATACTTGGCATGAACTCCATGTGAACGCTAAGCGAAGCTAATTCGAATTAAATTTTGAGGCATGCGTAGTGGAAAAATTAAGTCAAATGCCACATGTTGATTGTCAGCTTTAAGTACTTGTGCTATTTTTGAGTGAAAAACTGAGGGAAAATATGTTTTAAAAGCATTAAAATGTGCGCATTATGACAAATGCATCTGCTTCTGCACAAGGTGACGTGATTTTCAAATGATGTCACAATAGCCTTACTGACGCCTAGCTGTAGAAGTTAAATTTTAATTCGCATTAGTTTACTTCGAATTAGCTGTAGTGTGAACGCAATTTAATTCGCATTAGTTTGATTTGCATTAGTTTACTTTGCATTAATGAACTGCGAATTAAACTCGTCGTGTGAACAGGGCATTCAACTGATTTATTCAAATGTACATTTTTCAAAGAAGACAATATCACTGAAGATAAACAACTTACTGTCATAACAGCAGAGGAGCTCCATTCCGTTGGTGTCGGGTAAAATGACGATGGTGTGAGGCAGGATTGGGCCTTGAGTCTGCAGGAAGAAAACTCAACTGTTACTCAGTATTGAGATGATCGAGAAGTTAAATCTTATGAAACATTTTATTGTGGTTTAGTATCATCTGTTCCAGACAATACCAAGATTGCTATCAATACAGCATTTATTTCAAGGGTCTGAATTTTGATCTTTTTCCGAAACAAAAAGTGCCTTAAATATAATTTCATCAAGAAAGTCTGATGAGATTTGTCACTTTTAACACATTTTGTGAGTGTTATGATTTGAGATGAAGGGTCAGGGCTGCATTATAAGAACATGCCTGTACCGTTTTATGAACCCCTATAACAAATCAGTCAGTCAAAGCATTGTGTCATTTACTTGAATAGGTAGCTGGGGATAAAACCTGAAAATTCATTTGCAACTAGTTCTAGGGAAGCTTTTCTGGTAAATGTGGGGATGTGTGCTCAGGACAATTTTTATAGAAGAACATTGTCTATCAAACATTCAATTGTACAAACACTAATTAAAATCAACACAATGCAAAAGAAAAAGAAAACATAATCCCCTTCTAAGCACCAACATGCAAACATACATAAACCTGCGTTAGTTAAATATTACAATATAATACGTACTGTTGAATTACATTTCTAAAGATCTAGTGTTGCCTTTCTAACATAAATTAAATAAGGTATATTTTATTTTACAATACGTAGTAATTTTAATATCTAGGCTATGTTTGAAGATCTGTCTAGCCTGTGTATCATAATGAGAGCAGCAGGTGTTTGTGAGAGGGAGTATTCTAGGTCATTATAAATAACATGGGAAGATTAGATCCAATTACTTAATTCTGAATGTAAATATTTTTTCAATTAATTAATAACCAACTTAATACTTTTCTAGCCATCCCATAATAAATAAGAACTAACATTTTAGTTCCTTAGTAAGTTCTTTATTACTGTTTATTATTTGTTGGGTATAAAACTAGACTGTAAGAACAAGCAATTAAAACACAAACCCCAGAATTATGATCTGTAGCACTACAGCTGATAAACAAAAAAACTAAATAGTCAAGTAAATCTGGCAGGCAAACTAGGAAATATTTACCTGGTGGGCGTAAAATGAGGAAATACCCGATTGGGGCGGGGACTGGGGGTGACTGCGAAACTAAAAATAACCAGTGGTTCAGAATACAGGACCATTGTACTAAAAACTGTACTTATACTGTAACAAGTGGTACCAAGTACAGGACTGCTGTACTATAAACTGTATTATAAAGTAATCAATAGTACAAAATACAGGACTACCGTATATCTGGTTTTCCTTGCGATGATCTATACAGGACTACTGTACTATAAACTGTACTATAAAGTAATCAATAGTACAAAATACAGGACTATCGTATATCTGTTTTTTTTTCGCGATTATCTCGCATTTTTTGCGACTATTTTTAATTCACAAAATATAAAACACGCAGAAATTATGTCAGCTATAATTTTATATAAAAACATTTCCATTTTAAACCATAAAAAATCTTCAATCGTGAAAAATATCTTACACAAAATTTAAACTGCACTAATCTACCCCTTTTTCGCAAAACTTCCAACACACGAAAAAAAAAAAACAGATATACAGTATTGTACTAAAGACTGTACTATAACATTACAAGTGGTACCAAGTACAGGACTTTTGTACTATGAAGTAATCAGTGGTACAAAATACAGGACTATTGAATCATAAAGTACTAATAAAAACAGTAAAGGACTAACATAATTTAGACTACTACCAAGATCATAACTTCACAAACATCAATGAAACACACTAGAAGCATCTTCCATGCATGTCTAATCAATATAGACATAGAAGACTTAAAAAGAAAACTGCTCCAAAAAACTTAACCTGGGACGCCGACACCGAAACACCGACGTATCACACAGTACAAAAACTATCACAAAGAGATTAGGCAAGGAAAGGAATATTACAGAGAACTACTGGAATAACATAAATAGAAAATCTACACTCAATCTATTTTCAGAAACAGTTCTACTCAAATAAAACAATTTCACAATACAGGCCTAAGTGTACTACACTAATTCTAAACACTTGTGTCCACAAACATGTGTCACACACTGTACTCACATGTGCCACATACAGTACTTACATGTGTGGGAATGTACAGGTCATACGCCAACATTTCATCCACATCGATGCCATGGAAACCACTATGGGAACCATAAAGAACCTTTAACCTTTGACCTTCTTCCACTGTAAGGTCAACTATCAATGGTTTGTGGACTAGATCTGTGAAAGACTGCAAAAAAAAAAAAAAAAAAAAAATCAAAATCAAATATTCATGTTATATTGCCTTTACAATAAGAGGACACAGTATATGGTAACGTTATTATCAGTAAGTATAAATAAGTTAGCAATAGATCTCTCTGAATTATTCCTGTCTCACCTTAAAAGCCATGAATTTGTGGTAAGGTTTGGGAGCCCAGGCGTAAATCTCTATACTCTCCTGTAAGGCTATCACAAGGAACTTGATCTTCTCATACTTAACTGTAAAAACAAAACTTGTCCATATAATATATCAATCACAATAAATACAAAACTTGTACATGTAATACAGTGTACTGTAAACAAACTTTTATTCGTGGGCAAGAAATATTTGCAAATTCCACAACCTACTTTTATTTGCAAACATTAATCACCGCGAACCAATAATTTTGATAAGTATGTGTAGAGAATGTTTCCTCAGTCACGAAAATTAATTGTTGCAGATTGATTTCAAACTAACGAATCGCCAAATTCAACAAGCAGTTCTCAGAATCACAGATTACTTAAGGGCAATAAGAAATATTTGGCTATGTTGAATATATACATTTCACATCCAACATTATCTTTATAACAAATGTTTAAAAAACGAATCTGAGTTACATCCCTTTGCCACACATTGCACAGGAAGTTTACCTATTTTGAAGTGGACACACCCCTCCAGTTCTCCTACATTCACCCAGCCATTCCTTCTGTCATTCTGCTCATAAAAAAAGACCAAAGTGTCATAATTTGTGTGTTAGAACTAACTTACAACTAATGATTAATTTATAATAATGTTGTGATTCCAATAATGAGGATAATCCATAGAAAATCATATCAATTGAGTCTGCTCACCGCTTCCTTTTTGAAGATTTTGTTGTTCAGCCATGACAGATAGTAGACGCGGATTTTGTTTTTCTTGCCGGAGATTGTGACCAGAATATTCTGTCCCTCTAAGACTTCCATCTGTTGGAATCTCCGCCGTGAGATCAATGTGTAAACTAAAATAGAAATAACATTTAACATAAAGCAACCCCTCTAACAGCCGCGAGATTCATGTGTAAACTAAAATAGAAATAATGTTACATATCTCAGCAGTAAGATCAAAGTGTAAACTAAATACACCAATATCTACATGTAGCCAAGATATTAAATCAGACTGGAATGGGGAGTTAAATATGTGAACCACCAAACAAATATTTAACACCTAAATTTAAAACCAGACATTGCTTTTCAATTTTTTTAATTGTTATTACCTAAATTACAAAATACTCAAATACTGATCTTGTATGAATCTAAACCTTGTTTTACCCTAACTTTGACCTACCTTTTCCCTGACCACTTCTGTCCAATAGCATCAAACCATTTTCTGTGCCAATGAGTAAGTTGACCCCTAAAAAATTCATTTTGTATTACAGATTTTCAATAAAAATAAACAAGTCATTTTCAAGATTAAAAGAGAAATCTTAATGATAAAGAGCTTTGAAACTGAAAATTTATGGAGTAACTGATCTTTGTCTTACACAACACTCACAAAAGCAGTAAATTATCAAACACATACCCCATAATGCAGCACACAAGATGTCTGAGGAGAATTTTTTCTTGTATTTTCGGATTTCTGGCGTGTCACTCAGAGCTTCGGTCATGGGTTGTGATGGCGCCACATTGACGTTAATCTGTGAGCCACGGCGAGATGACTGGGAGGTCAAGGTCGAACCCTCAGAGGCTCCGAACCCAAAGGCCGAGAAAGACTTAGGCTGGTGTCTCAGTACCCCTCCCTCATTACTGACTGCCTGACGATACTGAAATATAAAGGAGAAAGACTTAGTCTGGTGTCTCAGTACCCCTCCCTCATTACTGACTGCCTGACGATACTGAAATATAAAGGAGAAAGACTTAGGCTGGTGTCTCAGTACCCCTCCCTCATTACTGACCGCCTGACGATACTGAAATATAAAGGAGAAAGACTTAGGCTGGTGTCTCAGTACCCCTCCCTCATTACTGACTGCTTGACGATACTGAAATATAAAGGAGAAAGACTTAGTCTGGTGTCTCAGTACCCCACAATCAGAAATGTTAATGACCGCTTGACGATACTGAACAAGGGAGAAAGACTGAGGTCGATGTCTCAATACCCAGGCTAAACATGCATGTAAACTTCGTGCGTCTGTCTCTGTGTTTGACGTCAGTGGGCGGGCACAATTGAAATTGACATAGTAGGCCTCATGTAATTCAAATCTATCATTCAACATTTTTAAAATCTAAATTTACAATTTTATTTCACAATGAAATGGAAATATACATGGAATCACTGCCTGGTTAGTAGAGTGTGCCAGGGACATCAACGATAGTCGGAAACATGGGATATAATTTTTGTACAACGGGCTTCGCCTGCTACGCAAACTATCCCAGGTTTCCAACTATTGTTTATGTCCTGGCATACTCTACTAACTAGACAGTGATTACTTAAATATTTCCTGTCACTTAAAACATCTCATTGTCCCAAACAAGGCCTCTGATAACAAAAAATCTCCTCATAACTGGGTGTACAAAAGACAGTTATTTTTACACCCACTCTAACCCTCTCAAATGTACCATCATGTAACAATTACATATTTCGGTTGATTTTGCTGTACAGGAAAAAATAAGTTTATATCGTGCCCGACCAAAAACCCTATTATTGGTGAGTGGACAACTTCCTATACTAAGACTTTTATCTCTCAGTGGGTGCTGAATCAAGCACTTGTTTTCCTAAGTGTTGAGGCTTTCCCTGGCTGCCATCACAGTACCACTAAATCGCACACCTCTTAAACAGCCAATAAAACCACGCTAGTCATCATAAACACATAATCGGTTTCCTACTGATGCTAACATGCTCGTTTATTGTTTTTCCTTGTTTTTTAAGTATGTTGTATAAAACACACCAAACAGCAACAGAAACTCTTTGGTATGAAAATTTATAATCATCCTATTGATGTTTATTTGTAGAGAAAAATATTTGCATTATTTTGGTTGTTCTACTTAGCATTTCAGTATTTCTATTATAATCTCTAAAAAGTAGTTGAGAGTAAGTACTATACTTTTACATGTAAATTTAATCTTGTGGCTGTGCAGTCAATTTCCGACTCAAATACTGTAAGTCGTTTTAATTCCACGGTGAAAAAATTTCACGATTTCTTTAAAGTACCAATTGCGATGGTTTTAATTTCACGCTGCAAGAATCTAATTTTAATTTTGTATAGTTTACGCATTTAAACATTTTTTAAAACCAATGATAGCATTCATGATGGGTTTAATTTCGCAGAAAATTGATTAATCGCGAACATAGTGAAATTAAAACCCATCGTGATTATTTGCCAATCTACAGTATTTAAGCTCACAATAGTTTGCAACTGCTCTTTGAACAATGAGCTAGCCTGCCTAAAAACTTGTGTTTACATAAAAATACAAGAAATTATCAAACTGTATCTTGGTACACAATACATGTACGTATCAATATCTGTGCAGCATTTAGTTTATAAAGAATCCTATCAGAACTTTGTCTCGGAACTAGGAGCTCACCTCGTCTGATGTGGTCTTGTCCTGGGGTCTCTGTGGGGTAAGGCCGGACCGTGACTGGGGTGGGGTGTGAGGGGGCAGGAGATCTGGGAGTACTCCACTGCTGGCACTGTGTCGGGGTTGCTGAAGCACTGAAATATAACGATTGATCAATTGATTGACTCTGTACAGTGATTGATGTAAATTGAAAATCTCAAGAAAAGTGACCATTTAGTTGATAAATTAACTTGGCCAAAATCAATACAAATCCTCATATATTTGAATTAAAATTTTTTTACCAGGTAACTGTTGAATAAAAAGTAAAATTTTAATTTTTGAGGGCTTTAACAATTATAACACTTCATAAAATATGGATCTTCATATTGTGCAAGACATAGGGGCAATACTGCATGGATACTTTAAGAATGAGATTTATTACTGATTAGGTATTAATTGAATTGCCTTGTCACTTGTTGAGTAAGTCCCAAAAATAAATATTATAACTGCAACTTTTCGATACTTAGCTTACCACTGACTTAATACTGACTATGCAGTATGAGTTAGACTTTCCAGTGAACGTCATACTGACCCAGTAGGACTTACCACTTGAATGTCCTAGGTTTCCTACTGGATTAGAGTTGGCCTTTCCAAGTTTGGGCCTCTGTGCTTTATCTCCGAGAACATTCTCAGATTTATTCTGTAAAACAAGAATACACAAGACTTATTTATATATATTAACAAAAATTTGTTGTATTATATATAACAGGAAATTTTCACTGAACAACACTCTATTACAGAGATTTCAAATTTAGTATTATCAATTATTTTACTGAAGCCTCATTTATTAAGTAAAAGTAATGAGCAGAAATCATTATGAGGCTATAAACTCTACTCTCATGAAAAGTGATAATTGTATTTCAGAACAATCTTGTATCTATGTTTATTTTGATCTATAATGACACCTGCACATCTAAGGCATGTTTTCTAACAATCAATCATTCTAAACGAAAGTTCAGCAAGTTGAAAAGAATTTTAACAGCCAGGTCTCCATAATGAGTCTCCCACTTACTTACAGTTGAAAACACAAAGTGGTAGTGGAAGATTAATCTTTATTTCACATTCACTGCTCTTTTTGATTTGTCAATTAGTGCTGACCACAGATGTCCACAATCTGTGAATCTACACAGCTATCCAAAAATACCAATAATATCAACTATGACAACATGTGGAGGAATTCAGATTTCATCAAATCTCACTGAGTTATGACCCAATTTTTAAAACCAATAAATCATGAAAAAAAAAGGAAATTCATTGGAGATTCCTTGACCTTTTCTTGTGAAAACTCTGAACTTCATAGTAAAAACATAATTGAAGCATATATATAAAAAAATGATATTGAAATACACATCTAGTTAGCAAGTCAAAAATAACATAAATCCTGGACTGATTACCAGTCATAATTGTCAGATATATTTTTTCTCTCTGTGATTTAGCGTGGACACCTTGTCAATTTTCCACAGAAATTATCGATTCTTGGTTAACACTGTGACAGAGAACCCCCGATAAGGCTTCCATTACACAGATAAGCCTAATTTGATCCCAACTCCACCACTGTTCTTTGCTATAATCAGTATACCACGGCAATGAACATGCTTTATCAAGTGTTTTACTGATGCAGGGTGTTGATTTACGGCTGTGTGTTGATCAATATTGATGATTTTATGAAGACTTATCTATGTATCTAATTGGCAATGCTTTAATATCTATCAAGTCTATGCTGTAGAGGTGTCCATCAATAAATCTAAAATACATATGTCTGTAATCATAAGGGGGTTCTTAAAGAGGGGACGGAAAGAGCAAGGAGAGAAAGAGGGGAGAAGTGGACAAAAAGTGGAGAGAGAGAGAGAAAGAGGGAAAAAAAAATTAATAGAATTTGTGGGAAGAGAAGAGAGAGAAAGAGGGGAGAAGTGGACAGAAAGTGGAAAGAGAGAAAAAGAGAGAGAGGAAAGAGAAAGAAATGGAAAAAGAGAATTTATAGAGAGAGTGGGAAAAGAAAGAGAGGTCAGAGAGAAAAAGAGAAAGGAGAGTGGAAGAGAGTCTTAGAAAGACAGTGGAAGAGAGTCTTAGAAAGACAGTGGAAGAGAGTCTTAGAAAGATAGAGGGAGGAGAGAGAAAGAGAGGGAAAGGGGAGAGGGAGGAGACAGAATGGGTAAGAGCACAGACAGAAAGAGGAATTTGATAGAAAAGAAGGTATGGGGACTTCTCATCAACTGCATTTCAAATCCTTTCATAACACTTCAAGGTCAAAGACTCCTTTAAGAACAATTATCACCAGAATCTTGACTCAATGGAGATCACCTTTCACTCATTACCCCCTCATTATCCCCCCTGTTTTCACTCCAATTTACTTCAGACTTCATAAGACTGGCCTTTTCTTTAGATGGGGGCCACTTTAAAGTTCAGCTCCCCAATTCAAAGAAAAATAATTTAATCTAACTCAGAGTTTAAATCAGAGACACATTACTGCTCTATTGACTTAGCTTAATTCCATGCTCTCGACATTAATCAAGAGTAACTGCTTCAAAATGGCAGACAATGTTTAATTGCAACTGGAAACACAAGAAGCCCATATCTGAAACAGAAGTTTTCTGTGAGCTTTTAATAAGATGCCGCCTGTTTGAAAAGCAGAAATTTCTGTTTTCATCTGCAGATCAAAGGGATGCTAGTAAAAGAATTTTAAAACTAGAAAATTTTCTTTGTATATATGAAAAAATTCACTCCACTTTCACAGTTTGTGTTTTTGAGCACCAATCTCCAGAAATCTGTAAGCATAGGAAATGAAGTTATGATTCTCTTTTTGTACATGTGCCCTCCTTCCCTTCCAGGTCAATGTGGGTGCATGACAAGTCCCCCCCCCCCCAACCTTGCATTCATGATCAATTTCTTTACTGAACAATAGGAAAGATTTTCCGCATCATGTCATCATAATATGGATTTCCTGCAGGTTCATTCAAATATCCTGCCAAATAATTTCAATTTCATACAGTTCCAGAATTCGATCCGCTTTGAAAAAAAATTAATTACCATCCCAGAGTAATGTTGCATAAAATTCTGCCCGTCAGCCATTGACAATTGATGAGACGAGCGGAATGTGTCAACATCCCTGTATCGATATGTCAGGGGCTTTATATCAGAATAATAGCTCCGCCAGGAAATCAATACTCCGTACTGTAATCATTGTATCGGTCCCATCAGCATCCCGTCCTACATATAATGTTCTCATGTTTATAAGGTAGTGGGTGTATTTTCATAGATATGTACATTTATCTCCATCGGCAATATTCCCTAACCTTCAATTTGTCAATGAAAAGAGTGAAACTATTGCCATTACTGGAATAATGATTTTTATTGGCTGCCAAGAAAAAAAAATCTCAACCAATTCAATAGCAATTCAATGTTTATTTTTTTTAATTTACTGGCCAGAAAGGGATTTGGGATGCAACTTCTTCAAAGAGAACAGAATTTGAAAACCTTGAAACAAAAGTAATTCAGAACTCAAACTTAACCTTCTACTAGGTTTTTGAAGCCTGTAAGGCCCCTTCACAACCTCTCCACTCTCTGTAAGCTGTCTTATCCACTTGACCAGGACTTTCCCTTCATTAAAGCCAGGCGGTAGGACCCTCATTATAAATTCCAGTAAATGTTCACTCCTTAATGACCACTCACTGCTGGAATGTCTAGAATGACTTCTCCACTAAGTCGGTAGTTCATAAATTTCCTCCTGACCACTGCATTCAGAGGTTAACGAGATGCCAATGCTAATTATATGTAACTGAAACAAATTCTGCTCTGATACTTTGTAAAACATTTACAGGGTCTGTATTTGAATATTTCAAGTGTGCTTAAATCTTTCAATCAATCATCCCTTATTTTAAGCAAGTTATAAGCCTTGAGTTATGGCAATTCTTATGCCATTTTTTTAAAAAATATAAGATTCAGCAAACTTTAATATAGTGTGTCTTGAGGGTTAGTCCTTCTCTTATCAGTTCACAGTGATGTTGAAATGTAATATTGGTAACTATTCATGACATGAATGACAAATCTTAATGTCGACCACCTGTTCAGGTAATACCCAGGTAACTACAGAAAATCATGCAAAGGAAATGTGCATATCGCAGCTGACAGACATAGCCGCTATTATTGTGTTAAAAACAGTCAATATAATAGCCATTATAGGGGACAAACAGCCATAGGGTAGGGTCTATTGATGTCTCTAAATCAGTCTCCTATTTATCATACTTTACCATGCCTTATTGTAGAGGGGGGAAAAAGAACAAACCGCTATAATGGCATCTGTCATTATTGACACAGAGAAAAAAACATTACCTGGGAATTTATAAATCAAAATTTAAGTACCCCAGCATCCTGCCACAACTATTGATAAAAACAGGTCAATATCAAATCCTGACATTTTCTCATGCTCCCGGTCCAATTCTTCATTGTTTCTCATGATCTCTCTCACTTCTTTTTTTCCAGAGATTTTTTTTTTATTTAATTGTTTGCTCTTTTCATTATGAATGCCTTTAGAAGTTTTTTTTTGGAATCAAGAAGTGTTCCCTGTTAGCAGGCAGCGTGTGTATAATAAGGGCCATCTGTGGCTAACAGGGGGTAGAAAATAGCAAACAGACAGGCTGGGGGAGGGGACTTGGGGTTAAATAGTGGCACCTGGTCCCATGTTGGTGGGGAATTAGAATAATTTCTAAGAGATAGTACTGCTTTTTTGAAATGAAGGAGGTTATCAAAAAGGGGAAACAACACTATTTATGACAACTGACTCATACTGGAAAACAATTCTTCCTCTTAAGAAAACTGAAGTCTGAATGCAAAAAGATCGATCCTATATAATATACCCTTACACCCAATTTAATTTCAATCTCAAAAGAAGGTATATTTACACCCTTTTGATTCATAAAGTTAGAGACATTTTTACCACTGACACGTTGTCTTGTGTTCAATTTGCCAGACCAGACTGTGTGATGCACCAGTTTATTGCTTAAATATAGACTACCGCACCCTGCGCTACTTCCTACCCCTATCACAGAGCTGCACCTTAACATTACCTTGATTTATACGTAACATTTAACACCACACCGCTATAGAATTAGCATCCGAGAAATCCCCAATAACTAGCAATTTAAAGTAGATAATCACATGGCCGTTATACCTGGGGAGAAACTCTCTGTTTGTTCGGGATCTTTATGAGAAATATAAATCTCTTAAAATCATTTCCTCTGCCATCCTAAGTGTCTGGTACCATTCTTAAATTCTACAGACACAGATTTTATGTCTAAATGCACTGTATCTGTGTTTATAGTAATTGCCACTCTACTGAGTATACTATAAATAAAATCTTCCGTTCTTTTTTAAAACACTTCACATTATAGTGGCGTCTTGACAAATTTAATGTGACAAATCGGTAGTACCCCAGTCGTTAACACATATTAATGAAATCTGCGCAGAATTTATCAATATGTACTTGTGAAATGCAACACAATTTATAATCTTTGATGTGTCAAATAGAAAGTCCCTTTAATTTCTTCAACCATATTTTTAATGTTTTAAAAAATCTGTACTCAACATGCTCAACTCAAAAATATGATTAGAAAATTACTGACCACATGAACATGATGAAAAGGC